TGCTAGGTAAACACTTTTGTTTGTTGTCTCTTTGAGAAAGTGTCTATGCGTAAAGGCCATTTCATAGAATCCAAATTGCCCATTAGCCAAAATTTTTAAATAAATTCTGCGGGTATTTTACAAACATGATTCAGCTCTTGACTTCACGCCTCCTTTTCAATTTTTCTTCCATTTAGGATAACATTTTAACTAAGACCCATTATAATATGCACAATATACTATCCTTGAGGATTTTTCATGTGAACCCAACTAGAACTATCAGAGTAAATGCTATTATTTGCAGAAATATGAAGATCTGTGTTGAAGAATTGTTCAAGTTTCATCAAGACAGCATCTGGACTTTGTGTACTACACAGAGTGTTTGCATTATGTGTATCAGAAATCCTAAGCTGTTACTTCTTGTTTGCTTCATGGCGGGGGGGGAGGCCTCATATTCATAAAGAAAATTGAATGTCACTGAATGACACGCTTTAAATCAAGATCATGTTAACTTCCCACACAAAGTCTATTTAAAGATTATTCTTATTTTTAATAAAGTTCATTGAATTTTACGCAATGAGTTGGTGAGGGCTGCTGACACAGAGCTAGAATTTTCCTGGTGCAAGGGGAAGATATATACAAAAGAGAAAATTTGCACGATAGTAACATAGTTTTGCTCTTATCATTTCCCCCTTCTGTTGGCTCCCATGTACCTTTGCTGTCCAGGGGGATACTGAAGCTTTCAGAGTCCCCATGGTGTGAGACAGCTGTGCTCTCAGCTTGGTAGGTTGATTTGGGCAGTTGTACCTGGCTCTCAGAAGAATAACGCTAAAGAAAATGGCCCAGTGTAACAGTATCTTTAGGAAGTAGTTTTGGGGAGTATTAAACATCAAAAGTCAGTGCTAGGGAGGCAACCCCGCTTCTCCGACACACAACACCACAACGCAACTTGACATGATGAGATTTTTCTTTTCTGTCTTTGATAAAAGAGTGAAGATAGCCCACTTTATGAGACAATCTCTCTAAAATGGACAAAACCAAGCATCTCTCAATTTTGGGATGAAAGCTACAGAGTTGATGTTCATGAAATTTCCTGACTTTGCAAAACCAGGCTCAGGGTAATGATATATTTTAAGTAGCATATTGCGGTTACTCCCCTGATGTCTCCAGGCAGAGGATTTTATTTGTGAACAGTAATAATGTTATCTTTTAAAATATGGCTTTAATTTGGAATTCATTCCAGTGGTAGTAAGTGGTTTAAAGCCCTATCTGCAAAATAATAGCATTTATACTAATGCCTAATTAATGTCAGTTCTTCCTTATCAGCTTGTTTTCATATGTTGCCAAAAAACTAAATGAGCATGGAAATAATTACATTTTAATTCCCTACCTCCTTACCAATGCAAAGTGGACACATTATACGTGTAGTAGTCTTCTGACAAAGTCTTAGGGGGAGAAAATCCCCACATTCCCCTGTGAAGCATCTTCCAAATTAGAGAAACTGCATAATGCTAGGATCTCCAAACCCTCTCTTTGTAATGAAAGGAAGAGGGAGTGACGAGCTTTAGGGTATTCGTCTCTTCTTCCTCCTGTGATCAGTTGTATGTTTTCGTAAAGAAAATTGAACTGCAGTCTCCAATATTTGGCTTTGGGGACCTTCTGGTTTCAGGAAGCCAGTGACTATTCCACAAGGACAATAGGACAGTCAGGCTATTCTAAAATATTCGGATTATATTCCAAAATAGGCAGATCACCGGATTCTTTTTTCTGATGATTTGCACTATTGATCAAAATGATACATGTTTTGTCCTACATGACACTTTTAACTTATTTTGAAAGAGTGGAGTTTTTTCTATAGTGCTGGTTCATATAAAAAAACCTCAGAGTTTTATTTGATTGCCAACTAAAAAATATCTGTCTTAGTCAAAAAACAGAAATCTGGGGTTTACTTCTGTTTTAGAAATTGAAGGTTCAGGTTCTGCAGATCTCCTTGTGTGTATTAAAAAGTAGTCAAAGAATACTTTTCAAAAAGTAAAATACAATTTAAATAAACTTTAATATTGGAGAGGTGTTTATACAAAACATTTGGGTGAAGGAAGTCTAAGTTCTGAAGCATAAAATTCTTTTTAAGGGAAAGCAATATTATAAAAATCCTTTTAGTGTTCCACATTAATAAGTGAGGCACAGGCATTATGATGGCTGTATTCCCTGCACATGTCCAAGTAAAGGATTTTAACTTTACACTAAAAATATTTTCAACCCAAAATACTTTCCTTCTACATGCCAAGACCCTTTGGATTATGTTTATCATACTGTAGTCTTTGGCTATAGCATATATATAGAGGACATCCCATTTCTGGCCTGGCCCCATTTTCTTCTGCCAAAATCAATAACCACAACTATATTTTCCTTTAGCTCTGTGAGCCAGACTGCCTCTGAAGTAACAGAAGCGCTTTCCTACTCTGGGAGAGTATATTTGTTTGAGAAGCACTGGAATAATGCTAAGCCTCCACAGCAAGCCTCGGGCCAGTTCAGATGTTGCAAAGTCACAGAGGACTCCCTAGAAATGTGTAGTGTACTTTATAATTCCAGCATAAAGGAAGTGAGCTTTTCATGGAAGTGAGAATTTAAAGTGCCAATGCCTCTTCTGCAGGAACCTCGATTCCTGAGGCCACACAGGGATTTAATACCAAATCAAAAAAACAGGCCAAAAAGTTCCTCTCCATCTCCTTGTAGACTATGTGCTGCTGATCTCCTGCTTGGAGCAGGAGCCCAACACAAGCAAGGAAGGCCAGCAGCCCTCAAAACCATGATCTCTCTTTTTTCCACTTACTTTGATAGCCAGCCCTGCTCTTTCAGCTGTAATGGGCAAAGAGAATACCCCAGATAAGGAAAAAATCTGGGATCAGGTCCCTCCAAGGATGATGCCTCCATGGGACTCCCGGCTGCAGAAGGGGCTGCTCCCTGGGCTTGGGCTGGGTTTGGGAAAAGAGCAAGTCATACAGGGTTTTGCAGGATCCATGCTCTGCCATGGGACACCAAAACTGGCCAGGGGAGGAAGAGGCACCCCTGCAAGCTCACAGCCCTGGTGGCAGCAGGAGCCGTGCAACCCCATTGCAGCACCTGAGGGAGGTAGAGCACTGCTGTGACTCTCCAGGCACCCCGCAGAACCAGCTCCAAGGGAAGGCTGCAACCCAAATACCTCATCCACAGGTAGCTGGGAGGTGGCTGTGTCTGGCCATGCCTAATTCTGCTTTCCAAAGCAGCCAAGTGTGTATGTTTCTGTTGGCCTACACTGCTTGTCTCCATGGGAATATGGGATTTCTGCACCTCCTCCAGCTACTGAAGGTAACATGGTGTTTGTGTACCCAGAGGGCAACTTTTTCTCATTTTGCTGAGGATTTTGCTTTCATAGAAAGCACGGATAGCGCTACAATGTAGAATCACAAAGGGCAAGGTATGCTGCAAAGGATGTGTGGGAGGAGAAGCTAGATAAACTTCAGTAACACCACCAAGTGTTTGTAGTGCTGTGCATTACTACAGCAGAAACATAGAAAGTAAAGCAGCTGTCTTTCTATTAATATTCAGAGCGAGGGATTTAAACACGTATGCAAAATTACTATTTGAGATCCATTTTCTACTAAAGCCAAATTCTCTCAGTCTGGCCCCTCGGCAGTGCAAAAATCCCCAAAGGAGTACTCCTTACAAGTAAGATCACTCCATCGCTTTTATCTGGTGTGATTTTGTAGTACATATATTTGAAAGGCTGCTAAGGCAGTGAAGAATTGCCAAGGGACAACTGAACCACAAAGGTTGTAGTAATAAAGGAGGACGGAGCAAAATTGAAGCTATAATTCCAAGATTTCCTTGTTATGTGGGCATGTTAGCAAATTTTAATACTACATTAGCATAGTCCCTGTCTAATTTGTTTTTCACTACAGCTTGTTGCTGAGAGCATTCCTTTGTGTTTCACTCGGTAGGAGACAGCTGAAAAGATGTTGTTAAATAGCAGAAAAAAGTCTTTTGAAGGACTGCTTTTTCTACGCCACCACCACAGTGGGTTCTTTATTCCTGCTCCAGGAATAAAAATGTCTGGCCAAATGGTTGAACATGTTTAATATAGAGCACTCTCCAGATAGTCTAGCTGACTGGCCTATACGTAACTACCAAATATTTAATACCACTGTATTGAAAGTATATTTTAAGGTTTGAGAATGATGTTTTACATAGCACACTCATTGCAGTCCGAAGAAGCTGCAGTGCAGGAGTTGGATTGGTATCTGATCAACTCAGTAGAAATATATCTGTGTATATATGTATATGTATAAAATTGAGAAACCACATCAATTCTATAATTATAAAAATATATACATCAGTAAACTATGTGGATTTCTTTTGTATATTAGCAATAATAATTTAAAAAAAAATAACATGGAACTATTAAAGGTACAACCAACTCTTAATTAGCCATGGATGGCTTATTTAAGATGCAGAGTAGCTGTACTCCAGAGACCCTAGAATTGTGCCTAGCTGGTCTTGCAGGGTATAGTGTTTCAAACACAGAGACCTCTCATACCCGCCGCGTTACATCCATGCTTAGCTAAGGTCTAGAAATGGGCAATTTTGGGCCTTTCTGGGTCATTACCAGACCAGAGCTAAGCTAGTCTCAGGAGACATCCCTCAGTTTTCTCCTTCACCAATGTCTTCTATTATCCGAGTGATCCTTTTATATAGTCTATCCCAATTCTGTATCACTTCAGCTAAGAACAAATAGAAACCTCACCTTTTGTATGTTAGGTGTTTAAAGGGATGTCAAAATGCACCAAGAAAAAAAAAGAGTTGGGAATAGATGAATATATTCAAAATGGAGAAGGAGCTGTATTGTTCATGGGTGTTTTCTCTGCCTTTTCTATGCCTGTCATCCTGCTTCACTGTTGTTACCCTTAACAAAAAGGCAGAGTTGCATCTATATTGTCCCTACACATGCTCTGCATATTTAACAATTTTTGATCCATTTCTAGACATGAACTTCTGGAAGAAGCTCGGAGAAAGGGTTTGCCTTTTGCTCAGTGGGATGGGCCTACAGTGGTTGCCTGGCTGGAGGTAAGTGTTGGCCATAACTTGGAAGCGTGAGTCACATTTGTGGGCTGCTTCTGTGTGCTCGCCCTTACAAATTCTAAGAGACTGTTAAAGTCTCCTCCTCTCTCCCCCACGCACCGTGCCGTGAGCACAAAGCAGATTTTGACATTGGATAGTGTAAATTGGAGACTAGAGCTGAAAAAAAGTAAGACAGGATTACACAGGGGGATAAGGACAGGAAAAAAGGGTTATCCAATGCACTTGAACCCCACATTTTTGAAATCTTATAATTTCTCAATCTCTAAATATCTAGGAACTCCACAGACTGAGATTATGTAGGATGATGTGTTAAGGAGAAAACAAAAATTAGCTATCAAATTTTATTTGAAGTTACCACAAAAGCTACATCTTCAGAATCTGTAATAAATTTAAAGAGTTTGTAACTTTCTATCCTTTTAAAATATGATGGGAAAGGGCTGGTTTACCTAGATATCACTCAGAACAGGAAGAAGAGATGTTCCTCTCGGCACTTTCACCTGGGATGTGCGAGATCCCGATTGAAATCTCTCTGATTTGACAGGCAGTGCCTTCATCTCTGCAATCTGATCTGCAGAGAGCTCTCCTTTCTCTGGAGAGCCTAAATGAACGGATTCTGGAACCCATCTAGAGAAACGTTCAGCAGAGCTCTCCATCAATTTTGACAAAAATCAATGAACGTTTTAGGTGAAGGAACTATTCAAAAAATACATACCCAGATGCTGAGGGGAGGAGAAAGCAGCAAGTAAGGACGTTCCTATACAAATACACAGTCCCTTTCACGTGGCAAGGCTGAATCAGTTCAGTGCAGATACAAGCTCCCTGTTGGCTCAAGGAACAGGTGTCTTATTCCTTGTCTATACCAAGAGTCTCTATGTAGTCCTACCTATTCTCATGTCTGCTGTGGGTAGCATCCATTGATCATCAGATAGAATTTGTAGAGTTTTTCCCTTTAATTAAAAAAAAAAAAAAAAAAAAAAAAATCCCCCTCCAAAGCTTTAACAGGAGTAGTTCAGGGAGTAAATGAAGGATGAGGAACAAAAGCAGCTAATGTCTACAAAATTTCTGCTTCCTGTTGGAATTGCTGAAGGTACCTAATGAAAAAGATGAAATGAAAACTGCAGAAAGGCAGTTCAAGTATTTGCACATGACCTTGGAAAATAGGATGGTGTCTTCCTTCCAACAAAATATCTCTGTGAATATGAAGCATTCATTAATTTGGCCACTACCTACCTTTTTCATATGACTTTGGGAGTTCTGTAACTGGATTTGTATCAGTCAGAAATATTCAATATTACAGTCAAAGCTGATTTGCTGGAAAGGTGAACGTAGAAAGGTCTATACATTTCTGAATACTGAGAAAAATCTGCCCTTGACGTCCCCCAGGGTGATCCGATATTTGAAGACCTTTCTGACAAGTTAAGCCCTGATCTTTTTTTGCCTTGATTCTTAGCTGCAAAATAGGATATGCTTCCCACTGTCTCGGAGAGGGGCTGTAGAGAGAAATTGATTTCTGTGAACTTGTGGGGAAATATGATGAGAGTAGCACAGGGAAGCCCATGAGGAAGTTTATGTTGTGGTATTCAAAGTGGATTGAATACTGATGATAAGAAGATATGAGGTCAGAAGTACTGAATTTAGTCAGTGATCATCAGTGCGTTCAGTCAGCAGATGGACACAGTGTCCATTTCATACTGTCCTGGGGAAAATACAATACGTGACATTTGGATTAAAAAACTAAATTAATATTAAAGGAGACAAAGGCCCAAATTAAAGAAGTATATGTGATCACAATTGTGACATTTCCAAACTTTTCTGGGCTTAACTTTTCAGCCTTAGCATTTATTCTGGTCAGTTGTATGTAGCACAGACATAGTTGAGATATATTTTAGGAACTGTGGGTTTTCTTAACTAATTCTGGAAAAGTATATCAATCTTGATATCTGGGTTCTCTGCCTAGAACAATTACTGTGCCCTCTTCTTAGAGACTGCTTTCATCTAACTGCATTTTCTGGTAGAGACAGCTGTTTGTTAAAGAACTAATTTACCTAATTTATTAATGAACTAATTTACCTAATGAGCAGCAAACATTTCAATTTATTTCTGCAGGGTGACTAACTCCCAGTATTTACGCTTTCCTGCTTTTCAAGTGCATGTGTGAAAAAAACTAATATCAAATTAAATGAGAATATTAAACACATATTAAAGCTATACATAGCTTCTTCATGGCCCTTTGTTTAAGTGCAGCTGATTGTAACCTACAGAATTTTTTTTTTTTCATTTTTTGACTTTCATGAAATTTTGTATTTCATTAAAGTTAGTTGGAATTAAATCATATTTGTAAGATTCAGACTAGCATTGAATGAGGGGGCAGTGGCTTATTCCATCAGTGGGAAGGGCTTTTTGAAACCTGATGCAGTCATTCCTCGAGCCCTGCGATACATCAGAGTCAGTACAGAAAAGCCTGTCTGAGCTCTTTTGGAATCTGACATTCAATTCTGTTTTCTCTGTGAAATAGAAGTGATCTAACAGCTGTCTTTTAAGGAAATATGTCCCAGATACGATAAAGAATAACACATTACTACCCTGTAGTGTGAGAAATTAAATAAAAACCCTTTCAGTTTGTCTCTGCTTTCCAGATATGCTGGCGAATTTACTGGTGGCATATTTTTAATAATTTCTTTGACCTTATGTCCTCTTTTAGTAAGCCATTATTAAAAGAAAAAAAATTAAAATCATTAAATCAGATGGCTTATTCTGAGTTTTTGATAACTTCATTTACAGTCACAGATGCTCTATCACACTGAAATTCAAACACAGATCGTCATTAATTGCCATCTACCCAGAACTAATTAAAAAGATCTGAAAATGGAGAATATAATCACTAGTATCACATAATATCACTGCGTTGTATGCCTATGGACAGATTTCTATTTCAGAAACAGTAAAATAGAATAAAATGCTGCTGCAAGCCATTAGTAACAAATCAGTACATTTGAAAAGTGCTTTTGACAAATTATATTTGAAGGTATATTATATACCAGTACAGTGAAGTACAGCAGATCTATGCTGAACAAAATTAGGTAGCTATATAAATGTGTATATAAATTTTATGTATACAGAATTATGTACACTCAAGATACATTGAAGGATAAGTAGTGAAGGGTGATTTATGCACTTCGACACTCAGTGTCACAAAATCTAGAATATTAGCTAGAACATTGCTGCCCAGTGGAAATCTTTTGTTATACATTATGCTTCTTCACCCCAGTGGGGAGAGCTATGTACTAAAAAATGGAATTCACAGCACCAACCCACGCGCGATAGTGATCTGGAAAAAGGTGAAGAGAGAGGGCAGGGAAGGGCTACTCTCCAGAGAGAAGTATCTTCTTCTCTCAGGTTACACAGAGCCTACCTGGAGTTAAGCACCTAGCGAGTATGTCTTTGTTTTCTATTGTGTTATCCCCAAAATCTCAGTGATTATGGCATTCACTGCTTATGTCCTTCTCATACTTTATAGCGTAATGTATTTCACACTATGACAAAAACTTCCCACATGCATATATCCCTGCTACAGAATTATCTCCTTTGGGAGGCAAGATCTGTAGACACCAACAATCATATTAATGAGGGAGCACAAAATGAGAAAGTTGAGAAAACCTAGAAGAATTCATACTCAGTAGGTCCCAGGAAAGACCGCTAGAAGGGCAGACTACCTTCCAAGAAAAGAGTAAAAGTGGGGAAGCAAGGGGCTGTTGCTGACCTAGGCTAGTAAGACTAACATAAGGAGAGGAAAAGCGGGAAGTCACAAGTACATATCTTCTAAATCCACAGGTGATGTAGCTGCAGCTTCTAACCTGTATTTCTAGCTGGGATATGATAGCATACCAGACTGTTCCCAAACTTATACTAGGTTCATTAACTGCACACTGCTTGCTTTATTTCTACCAAGAAAATAAAAGCTGGGAACTGTAAGATTGTGAGTACACTGTGGGGACTAACATGGAAAGAGAGAGAAAGCCATTCTAGCACAAAAGTGAAAAAAATTACTTAATCAGTTCCTCTTAGATTTTTTTCTGTCTGTGGGCAGTAAGACTGACTTGTGCCACTACTTGCTCATTAAAGGCCTGGGAACGGAGTAGCCCAGGTGATGGAGGCACATAGCTCTAAAAATAATACAAAGCACCCCTTGCTTTAAAGTTCTGATTACAAAAAAAAGCAACAAAAAGAGTTCACATGGAGCCGTGGCAATTTCGAAGGTTCTGAAACAATTTCATTTTATTAAAGACTGTGATAGGCATACTCATTTGTGTCTATTATCATGCTTATTCAGATTGATAGGTGCCTTGATGATTAATTTCATTTGAGAAATGAAGCAATGCTTTGGATGAATGTGTCCTCTCTCTCAACAGCTCTGGCTGGGCATGCCAGCCTGGTATGTTGCTGCCTGTCGTGCCAACGTGAAGAGCGGAGCTATTATGTCTGCTTTGTCTGATACTGAGATTCAAAGAGAAATTGGAATCAGCAATCCTCTTCATCGCTTAAAGCTCCGGTTAGCAATCCAGGAGATGGTATCACTGACAAGTCCATCAGCACCTCCGACATCCAGAACAGTGAGTCCTGTTCAGATAACTTTTTCTTCCCCACTTGACCCTGCAGGAATCTACAGAAAGACATTTGTAATACGAGAGTGGCTCTATGGTAACACACACTTCGCAATCAGTGGGAACTGTCCTACAGAGACTTAGAAGGACCTGTTCATCACTCGCTTGATTGTTGATCACTGATATTTTTCCTTTAGCAGATATTCTTATCTTTTTTAAGTAAGTCATGCTTTTCCTGAACCTTGATGTTATCTAAATGATCAGTATTGAGCATCTTCTTTGTAATTTTTCCTGTATTTTTCCCTTTGTCTTCCTTCAAGTCATCTCTCCCAACCAAATCAGATTGTGTTTCTCTTTTTTGTTTGTTTCTTTTTTTTCTTTTTTAGTTTGTTGGGGTTTTTTGTTTGGTTGTTTTTTGGTTTTTTTTTTTTTTTTTTTTGAGGTGTGGGCAAGGCAGGAGAAGGGAAAGGCTATGTAGGAACACAGCTCTTTTGAATCTTGTTCCCATTCCCCTTTGCATCCTTTCAAATATTATCTAATCTGAGTCAGCTGGCTTTAGGTTCTTTATGCTTTTAAGAGAAGCAGTGATTAGAGGTGTGAAGGGAGAGTCTGGAAGGGAGAAGTGGAGCGTGTGCGTTCAGTGAGGAAGGGAGAGAAGGGGGAGAGTGGCAGCAGATAGGAAGGGAGCAACTAAAGAAGAAACATAGAGATACAGGTCTAAAAGGAAAAGGGAATATATCAAAAAGAGCAAGAAAGTACATTAGAGGAGAGTAAGAAGGTATGTGCTACATTAGTGGAAAATGAAGAAAAAAAGGCCAACCTGATGAGGACAAAAAGAAACAAGAAGACAAAAAGAGAGTTTTGAGCTGAGAGGCTGATAGTGATGGCAAAGAAAGAGGCAACAGAGACTGTAACAAAAAAAAAAAAGAACAAGAAAAAAAATCAGATCAGATGGGAAACATGACACAGAAGTGAAGGACAAAGACTACTCCTCAAGTAGCGCAGCCGAGACTTCTAATAAGAAGATAACAATAATAATAATAATGTTAATAATTATTATGTTAATAATGGTAGTAATAATAATAATAATTATATTTTGTAATCTCTCATCTTCATGGAATTCATGGAGAATCTTTTGGTGGAAATGACAATTGAGATAGATACCTTTGAGGGGTACCAGAACCACAGAATTATATGAGCAACTGGGCAACAGGACTCTAATGTTCCTATTGACTAGCTTTTTATCTTCACATTGCTAAGGTTCTTTAAATATTATAGTTCCCTATCTGATATTTTCTCCCCTCAGAATGGTTGCATATGTCATAACCATGGTAATACTGTGAATCATAATGGATTTCACCTAAGTAAAGCAGTATAGACTTGACATGATGTTGAATTACTAAACAAAACTCTCTTGGATTTTAAGAGCATAAGAGCATATTTCAAAGCATAAGCACATTGACACTTACAAAATGGGAAAACAGTACATTCAAGCTAGAAATACTGGGAATAATTTTGCCTTGTTTTTTTAATTCTCCCTGAGTAATTGGCAGCACAAAGCTGCCCTGCCCTGGCGCGTGCACTGCTGAATCTCAAGTCTTTCTGCGTCCCCTGTTTCTCAGGAAAGGAGTTAATTTACTTCAGCTCTCAAGAAAACACAGCACATTTCATCTTACGTGCACAGCAGACTTCCACACCCCCTCCCTGCCTCATCTCATCGTCCTGCTAATAATCTGACTGAAAACAACGGGATGAGGAAAAATAGTTTTACAAGTGAATTTTCTTGACGTTTTTGATTTACAGAAACTTTGGGGAAGTAATAATTATTTAGATTACAATATGAGCGTGTGATGTGTGCAGAATATTTAGGCTGGAAAATCTTTAAGAACCGAAGCTTACCTCCAGATAGAGCTATCACCTAAAGGTTCTATTGCCACCTGTGTGTAAAATGCAGCTTTAATAATTATTCTTTCCTTTGTGACGGTGTTCTGCCGGATTTCATCCATCAGTTCTAGCTGAAATACTCCATCACGTCTGTTTAGAACCCTCTAACGAAAGATACAAAGCAAGTTGTCTAAAGTTGTCTCTAGTTGCAGCTCGATAGAGGCAAGAACGTGGTTGTGCTGATGGTGATGCTATACGCTGTTAACTTACAGTGGTGCTGCCTTTCTTCTTTACCACTGCTTACCTAATGTGGATCCTACCTGCCTTCCTGTGGGCCTTGTCCATAGCCCTCAGGCAATGTTTGGGTGACCCATGAAGAAATGGAAAATCTTGCTGCTCCAGCTAAAACGGTTAGTCTTTCCACTTTCATTTTAAATGGTTTCAGTGCTCGAAAGAGACCTAGGATGTATCTGCTTTAACGCAGATGCCGTATCTTCCGTAGGATGCTTCCCAAGCATGCCATTAGAAAGTCGCAGGGAGCAGTGAAATTGAATTTAAAGAACAGCTACATCATTTCCAAGCAAAAGAAATTACAAACTGTGTATTGCGATCACAAAAATTGTGTGAACCTAAACCCAGTATTGGAGTTTTACAGTACGTAATAGTTTCACTGCCTGTGTGAAACCTTATGTAGTGAAATGAAATTGTTGAGGTTACAAGTGCAACATTTCCCCTGTACTCTTCTCCCTAAACATAGTTTTATATCTGCTGAAATAGAAAGAAATAAGAAAAGGCTTGAGAGGGGTGCATTACACAACTCGGTGTGTTCATTAACGCTGAGTCTTTCATGCCCATACTTGTGTATTCATGCTCTTTGATTTAGGGTGCATGGCATGTGTTATTGATTGATTGATTTTTGTCAAATCTCCCTGCTTTGCAGGGACATAACTAAATATTAATAGTTTTTATTCAATAGTTCTTTTTTTTTTACTTGGAACAGATGTTCTTTTAGGTTTTGCCTTTAGCATTACATCATAAAAACTCTGTAACAGTGCTTATATGACATGATACAATCCTACAGTGAGATGTCTGAAAAACCTATCTTCACTTTGGAAAACTTTATAGCCAGCCCAATCCATAAATGGTGGGGGAGGTACTGAAGTTAAATATTGATGCAATAAAGACTTTTTTAGTTTTAAAATTTATACTTGCTATACTATTTTAAGTTTCTCATGAACATTCATGAAGCATATTCTCATACATTTTTTTTTTTTTTTACAACTGAGCTCGTTTTTAATTTTATTATTGTTGGTAAAGATAAATACAAATACAACAACACTGAACTGACCAGAAGTAGAGTTGATTCTGTTTAACTGGCCACCCAGAAAAATATAGTTTTGCCATAAAAAATGTTATATAAAAAGCTCCTTTACAATACATTCACAAGAAGACAGCTTTTTACTCTGAATGTTTCAAAATCGAACTGGAAACAAAAAATGGCATCTCTAATGCCCAATTTTGTAAGTAAATGGTTGTGTTTTGATTGTGAAATCATAGAAGGTGTTTAAGATAATGCTGTAAAGTTTCACCAAGCTATAAAGATTTTATATCTTGAAAACTTAGCTAGATTTTCCAACTAAGTTTTTTTGGTTTTGATCTTGTAGTTTTTAAGGTAGTTTAGCCCAGGGCATTGCTGCTGCCTGGAGTTATTTTATCAGCACATTTACATGTACGTTTTCATTTGTACTAAGATTACCATACACATGAAACCACCTCTTTTTATAACTCATTTTTATTGTCTTTTTACCTGCTTTACTAATTGCTTCCCGCTGATAACACAGAAAGAGTCTGAAGAAGGCAGCTGGGCTCAGGTATGACCCTTCAACATGATTTTTTTATACAGAGGACTAATAATAATGTAATTAACAATGTATCAATATACATAGAGTATAGTATTGTGACGGAATCTCAATGATTGAATTATGGTTTACACATTTTAGAGTTCTTCTAATACAAATAAAATATTCTCTGGACAAGTTTGCTAGGTAAAGCACAAAGAGGAACATATGCTGTAAATACATTTCTTAAAAGAAAGAGACATTTTCTACGTCCCAGCTAAATCTAAGAAATTTTTGAGAATAAAATATACTAAGAGTTTGAGATCTAACATTTCTAAAATTACACCAGATTTTTTTCTTAGAACAATTGTATAAATCACACCCAACTATCAGTCTACAAATAGTCTTGTATAATTAGGAACAAAAATTTTCAATTCAATTAGGCTATCAAATAGTTATATTTTTCAACTTCTTTAACTCTCTCTAATATATGCACACTCTTACACAGTCTTACTGTCCTTACTTATGGCATTCCTTTTCTCTTCAAAATCTCACAAGAATGAGAAATGAGGGGACTATATTTTCCCCCCATAGAAAATATAGCCTGCTTGCACTGTGTTATCCTATTGTCTATAATGACAGGAGACATTAAAAATAAACCCCAAAAGATAGTTAGGCTTGAAAGCGGTGCTCAAAGCTGAGCGTGATCCTACTGAGGTGTTAATCTTGTGATTTATGAGTTCTCTTGTCCATTGTTTTAGCAGTACCAAAATATTTTACAATAGTGAGATGTAAAATCTATTTTGCATCTTAATTTTGCAACCCACACAAAACCAGCTTAACATACATTTGTTGTTTTCATATGCTTTCTTCCTCACCCTAATGAAATTTCAGCTGAATGTACCTTAATGCCTGAATGCTAGCTTCTAGGAGGAATCTGGTTTGCTCCTTAAAAAATTAATTTCTTGAGCTCCACCCTTAGGATTAAGCTGTTCACAGCTGAAAATATCTCATTAATAGAATGTATTTGGTCACCTGCTCTGACCGACGGTGAAAGTAAGCTTAGCAGACAAACAACTGAAATAATTAACTTTTAGTCTCAAGAGGACTACAGGTGTGTAACCATGAAGTGTCATTAGATCCTATTTAGGAAATCCTAGCCCCTACTAAATAATAGTGACACAAAGTTCAGGTGATTCCCTGGAGCCATGTTTGTGTGACCAAGTTCAGTGTAGGATTTGCCTAACGTAAATATTCTAGAAGGTCAACTGAAAGCAAGTAAGATTACGCAACAAACACATTTTGATTGTGCAATAAGTAAGTTTGCTTACATTTAAAACTCAAAATTGCAGCTACAGAATTCCTTAAAATTTATAAATGTAGAAAACAAGACACAACAGGCAAAACTGCTATCAGTAACAAATGCCTCACAGTGGCTTCCACCTCCGATGTCAAAATGATGTTAAAAGGAAATGGTTTCTTTTAGACAGGATTTCTGAGCTAGAAATGAGCATAGCAGATATAGATAGATATTCTGACTTCAGCCTGTGGTGCATCTTGAATAAACCGAAGAATTTATTTCCCCTCCCCCATTTTTTTCCCCTACAGACCCTGGCTTATGGTGATATGAACCATGAATGGATAGGTAACGAATGGCTCCCCAGTCTGGGTTTACCTCAGTACCGAAGTTATTTTATGGAATGCCTGGTAGATGCGAGGATGTTAGATCATCTGACAAAGAAAGATCTGCGTGTGCACTTAAAAATGGTGGATAGCTTCCATCGGTACGTTTGCATAAGGACTACACGTATAAAGACTTTGATGTGTCTGACGTAGTGCTCAGTGCTGCACAGAATAAACCCAGTTACTTTCTGTTGTTCTGGCTTGGAAAACCACACAGAGAAGTGAGTGCTAAGTGTCAGAAATCTGAATTGAGAGACATTCCTTTTGTAACAGCAACCGCATTGCAATCATATCTCTCATAACTAAGATATTGGTACAGATAAATTTCATAATAAGCAGGGAACCATTAATATATAAATAAAGCCTTGACAATACAGAAAGAGTAATAATTTATTAAGTGGTTTAAAGTATCAGAAAATGGTAGACTAAGATTTGAAGCCCTGAGATCTCATAATAATGAAAAGCTATTGTGTGTAGCACATAAAAGCTGTTAACAGTACAAGCAAATTGACAGTTGTTCAGGTTATCTAGGGATATAGCCAGGAAGCTAAATTGGAAATATGGAAATAAAGGCATTTAGACTTCAGGGAGAATGATGTTTATGTGACAAGAAGTGGATTTTTTTTTAATGTACTGTCTGATTTGTCACTTTTTGAGGCCTGATTTGACAAAACATTTCACGGCTCGCAAAGGCTGACCTTTTCTGAATACAATTTTTAATGTTTTGGGTTTCTTATGCTAGAACATTTATTCAAACATACTTATTTTGAGTTTGTCCATTTCATTTTTGAAGTCTGTGGAGTTTTTTTAATGGTTTTGCTCTCCCCTCCAACCTCAAGATTTACTACATGGGCACCATGAAACACCTCATCTGAACTGCAGGAAATACATTCTACATATGTTCCCATCTTCAAAATTATCTTTATTAACTCTGTGAATGTTTCTCTTTAAATAACAGAACAAGCTTGCAATATGGAATCATGTGTTTAAAGAGGTTGAATTATGATAGAAAAGAACTGGAAAAGCGAAGAGAAATGAGTCAGCATGAAATAAAAGGTGATAGTTCCTGGGAATGAATACTGGGACTGTTTCTTCTTTTGAAGCCTGACACTATTAACCCCTTGTCATGCCATTTTAGCAAACCATTTGAGCATGTGCTTTAAGTTAAACAAACTTAAGTCCATCTGTCTTCAGAACACAAAATAGACACAGTTAAATTAGACACAGTTAAGTACTTTGCTAAATTGGGGCTGCAATCCTGAATGGCTGTTGAATTTGGGGGACAGATCTTGTCCTAACCTCTTTCAGTCTCAGACGCAGAAGGCCAAATGGGATGTGCTGGGGGCAACACTGGGAAATCGGAGCACTCAGGACCCTAACGCTGTGCTCCTGCTTTTGAAAACCTTTGCCTTTGATTTGTTACTTCAAAATGTGTATCATAGAAAATATTGCTTGGAGGGGTGGCCCCTGAGGCACTCGATGGGTATATAAGAATAGTTCCTAACAGAAGTGGCCTTATTAGAAGATTTAACAGCTGATTTAAAAGCATTTTTCTGTGTAAAGCTCTCTAGAGCAGTTGCAGGCTCACTGCACAGTTCCTTTTATATATAAGGATGAAGGTTGTTGGGTTTTTGCCATTATCAGAAGTGAATGCTTTGATTCCTTTAAGCATTTCCAGCTCTAGTGAATACAGCAGTTAACGCTTCTCAAGCACAATGCTGGTTGGAAGAGCTAAAGAAAAGAAAAAAAAAAAAAAAGGTGGAAATTAGAGGGAGGAATGGCTACAGTGATAGCATGCATTTGCTCAAGGCAGATGATGGTGTGCACTAATGAAAAGACCTTGACTTGTGTGTGGAGGCATCAGTGTCAGCCAGCCTGAGCGCCTATAGCTGGAGACTGTTGGGGGAGGGTTGGGTATTGGTCTCAAATTCTGGTGTTGCTTCACCGCTAGTCACCGCTAGGACAAGGCTAATAACCCACAGCCTCCTTCACCCAACCTTCACCCTGTCGTGCATTGGTCAGACACGGTCCCAGGTGGGATTTGGTCTCAGTGATCCCTGGCTGCCATGCTGTGTTTCAGCCAGTCCTGACCCCAAAGCCTGGGATGCTCTCGGTCAGGCGACAGAGAATGCCTGCTCCCAGAACAGCTATTAGCTGGACTTCTAATGGTTCAGGAAGAAGCCTCACCACTTAGTAACACAAACCTCAGTATTATGTTTCCACCTCGCAAGTATAAAGATCAGTGTAAGTAACTTTCTTTTAATCTTATGGGCAGGGTAGGATACTTTTTTTATAATAGCCAAATCCTCAAAAATGGTTTCCTACCTCATTTTGTTGCCTTAGCTTTATAATTGGCATGGACCTTAACAGCTCAACCAGCTTTCTGAACTAAAAAATAGTTTTAGTCTGTAAAATTGTGAACTCATCGTTTGCTTTATGGCACGTTATAAAACGGTAGGTGCTGACCCGACTCTCAAAATGTTTAATACAAAACTCTTCAGTGAAGTCTTGAGAAGCAGATATTTCTCCTGTGCCCTTGCACAGCTAAACTATCTTGCCTAAGAATTGAAAAGGGTATCTATAGGAGGTGGGAGGAATTACATTCTGGAGATGCCCTCTGGAGGCACCTTCTTCCTTTGGAAATGTTATTTAGAATAAACATTTACCTTGAAGGTAGCTAAAAATCACACAGTTGCTCCCACACCTTGGGTTTTGAATAGGAGATACTGAAACCATTAAAGCCCTATGAATAGTTTGCCGGCATTAATAAAGCAGTATGACGTCCACAGTGCATGCACAACCTGTAGAGTTTGGAAGTTATCAGGTATCAGGAGACTGAAACTGGTGTTATGTCCTTACAGATGTGCTGGTATGGAGCAATGATCGAGTCATACGCTGGATACAAGCTATTGGCCTCCGAGAATATGCAAATAATATCCTAGAAAGTGGTGTACATGGTTCACTTATAGCACTGGATGAAAACTTTGATTACAGCAGTTTAGCTTTATTATTACAGATTCCAACACAAAACACCCAGGCAAGTTTGTTCATGCTACTTCTGGTTAATCAGTACCCATTATTGCCTTTTATTCCTTTTCAACCATTTTAATTTTTTACTTTGGTATCTCTAGGCACGGCAGATCCTTGAGAGAGAATACAACAACCTTTTAGCACTAGGAACTGAAAGACGACTTGAGGAAGTAATTAATTTTATTTTCAGTATTTATAAAATATCCCAGTAAAATATAAAAATTAAATTGAATGCATGAAGACATGTTAAGTCACACTTTGTTAAAAGAGCCAGTTACAGCTTTAAGAAAAAAAATTAGGAAATGCCAGTCAAGGTTTTTAAAGTAACTTCAGTATGGCTACATATTCGTATCATTTTGGATGCTAAATTTGGCACTGCACTCTTACCTTAAGATGAACATTTTCCATACAGGAAATACACGGAAAGGGGTAGAAATTTCGCTGGCCAGGGCAAGCGGCAGAGGGGGAGGGAATGCCTGTACAACCTATTCTTTAGGACACTTACATCCTTTCTTTAGAAATAAAGAAGAAAGAAGAAAAGTGGCTTTTTGGTTTTTTGTTCTTCAAAGTTCAATATGTAACAGAGTAGGATTTGGGGCAGTTATCTAGGATAGGGAATCTCAAATCCACCTATGGAAAATACTCATCTTAAGGTAAGATTGCAAAAATATTCAAGTCCTGGACTTCTGCATGTGAGAAGAATAAAACTTTTAAGGTCCTGCTAAAAATGTGAGATGCCTATGAATTCTGTGCACGCACATAAGCGTTTAATTCTTTATTAGCATTTTACGTAAGCCTCCTAATGCAGTAACAAACCACTGCACTTTCTGTCACTGTATTTGGAAGAGATCTGACTTTTAAGAAGTTTCTACTTGAGCTGATTCTAAAACTCTACTATATCAAGCCAGAGATTTAAGAAAAGTTTTCCACCCTAGCATGTAATATTTCTAAAGCATTAACTTTACCAAGAGCGTCTCAACAGCACTGCAGTTACTGGATGCAGTGCAACAAAGCAGGGTAGTTGTTGTGGAATACATTTGACGGTGGGAGAGGCAGCAGACAGCAATTAATCAAAAAAAATTCATTTTCCTTTATCAAATACAACTCTGTGTGTTGACAGAGCGATGACAAGAACTTCAGACGTGGCCCCTCCTGGCGACGACAGTTTCCTCCGCGCGAGGTTCACGGGATCAGCATGATGCCGGGCTCCTCGGAAACGCTGCCAGCTGGGTTCAGATTAACCACAACATCAGGGCAGTCACGGAAGATGGCAACTGATGGTATGCAGTCATTTACTGTTGAAAAGCAAGAGGCTTACTCTAGCACGCTAAATTGACTTCTAGACTTCTAGTGCATAGCTGTCTTGCACCAGAATGGCTGCTTTCACATAACTAAGATGAATTGAGTCCGGGAGAGTTGAATTAGGGAATGGAAAAGCACTGACCTGGCATACTATTGATTTTTTTTCAGGTTTGCTTCAGACTGTCAGTGTTCATTTAATTAAAAAAAAAAAAAAAGAGAGAAAAGAAGAAAAAGAAAAAAAAACAGGAAAAAAAAGGCCATCTAGCCATCCTAGATCTGCAAAAGAAACATTCAGAAAAAGAGGAATTAATTTACTGACTTTCATCTAAGATTGTGTGTAGTACCTCAGCAAATTTTTCAGCTCATTAGCTTCTCTACCAGGTGGAGCGTATTTTAGAGAATGAATTTAGAAAGGGCTATCACCTTTATTTTCCTATTTGACTTTCAAACTAACTAGCTTAGCCTTGACCATCAAATAATTCAAGTTGCTAACAATTAATAGCAATCAGACAGGTAGTGTAGTTAGCAAATACTGAATTTCAGGTACTAATTGAGTTACTGTATACCAGTCTTAAAACTTCCAGAAGATGCACTAACTGAGCAATGTTTGGAAAAGTAACAAGCAGATAATAATTAAAAAGTAAGTAAAATTTAAAAGTCATTGTAAGATGGCAGGGAGAAGGAACAAATCCCATTGCAGCTATTCCTTCAAGTACACGGACAATAAAGCCACGTATAACTGCCTGAAGTTCTGAGAAATGCCAGTACACAAACTGGCCCGTTTCATGTTTATTTCCTCATGAGAGAATTTAGGTCTATGAATAGACTTGTGTCAAAATAATGTAATACACTGCTTGTAGTGATTACATTCTGTAACTCTTGAACGAACTTGGTATGACAATATTGCCATCTAAATTCCATTAAAGCCATCTAAATGCCATTAAAGTTTCTCACCTTTAAAAATAATACTTTATAGTTGCAGTTACAGATGGAATAATTTACTGATTGCATCACTATATTCCATTGACTCCACTGCTCATGCGCACGCTTTGCTTTTAATCCTGCACTTTTTGGCAAGGATGAAGTCTTAAGACAAGAATCCATTCCAAGGCAAATTCCACGTGCAAATAAAGGTATTAGCTCCCCAGGCTTTTCCATGGCCCACGTTACTGTAGTAGCTAAGAACCTTACAAACATGCATGGATTTCATCTGCTAGCAATGCTATGGTATTATTCCCATTTTACAGATGGGGAACTAAGGCACAAGAGAGATTCAGTGATTTACTTGAAGTTTTTCAGAGAGTTTATTATTGAGCTGGGTACTGAACTCAGTAGACTTAAAGGTAGGTAGTTTTGAATACCTACATCTTCATGCAGGACTTGGCTTCCTATCTCACAGTGCTAAGAAGGCTATAGTATTTAAACAGCATGACAGGTACATTATTAGGACTTCCAACAAAATAAAGATAAAATAGAGTTTTAAACCGTATTCACTTAAGACAGATTTCAATAGCACATCAGACATGAAGAAGCTCTGAATGAGTTCTGAACTAGACCACATCCAGATCATGTCATAGAAAGCCACAGAGCAATTTAATAGCCACCCTTCCAGTGGAAAAGAGACTGATTTATTTTCTTCATGATTCTAAAGAGATTCTGGTTTGTTTCTTTTTTTTTTTTTTTTTTTTTTTTTTTTTTTTTTTTGCAATTTGCAGTTGCTTCATCACGACTGCAGAGGTTAGACAGCTCAACAGTTCGCACATACTCATGCTGACAAGGCCTAGCAAAGAAGCCAGCACTGAATTGTTGTGAGTATTCATAAGGGGCCATCATGAAAGCTCTTTATAACTGCACACTACACTCAATATTCCTTGGCATATCCAAGCAAGAGCCACCATGGAGCAGAGGATCTAACTCAGACTCACTAAGGTGGCCAGTTGATCAAGACAACAGTCTCAAGCTCAGTCCAGGAGATGTTACGTTATTCTTTTCCCATCTCAAACAGCAGGTTCTCTCTGATGAAACCACCTTAGCAGATGAGACAAAAGTTTTCAGAGAACCCACCTCATATGATAGCTCACCAAGCATCATGTATTTTGTATGTTCTCAATCTCAAAGCTAGAACTGGAGAGACAGCAGTAGGCACAGGGAGTGAATTTACTTTATGAGAACTTGAAGTAGTTCTACCAGGAACTGAGGAGAGAGGGGGGGGGGAAAGGATAGAAAACCAGAAGAGATTTATGGTTTTTTGTTTGTTTTTCTTTTTTAAATGAGAGATTTGACTCAATTTAGAACAACAGGTAGCCGCATAAAGCTAGAACAAAACTTCCCCTATACAGAAAATCTTCCAAAGTTATCTATTACAGAGATTCTCACACTTCTCAAATCATTCAGAATTGACCAGTGGCAAAGAAAGGATGTTCTGAGCTGGATGCAACTTTGGATCAAATCTAGTACCAGAGTTCATGTTGTATTTTTCACCACTTTTTGAAATATGGCTATGAATCTCACAGATTCACTCTTTCAGAGTTCTGTTGTTTTCTGCTACATCACAAGTTTTGCAAAAAATACTAACATGACGAGTGCTTTCATCAATATGGCACCATTTCATGCTAATATTTTTCTCAGTACAACAGTTTTATTTTCCATTTAGTTCCTCAGGGGATTGCAGGGGAGCTGGAAAGAATATTTGGATAACACCAAAACCTCACCAGGCATTGAACATGCTTTGATAGCTGTTAAACATTGTAGGCAAGACATACCAGGATATGCAAGAAAGTCCTTTTTTTTCAGGGGCTTGGGGCCATCAAGATTTTACTAATGCTAGGCATGTTGAAAAAGCACTTAGAAACAGCAAGTCTTACCAGTGGAAAACATAGATTGCTCCGGATCCTACTGATGACATGAGCCTTACTTCAGAGATCTTCAGGAGACTGCAAGAGTGTAAAATGTTAATCTAGTAGAAAAAGGAACTTTTCATGTCACCACTGAAAAATAAGCACAGGAGATATTCCCCCACATGCACCCCCAAGGTTAGCATTCGGTCCTACAAAAATGATGACGGAGCACATAAAGTATATATATAAATCTTTTTGTGTAAGTAGGTATCGATTAGAGCATGGTGTTATGTCAGTAAAGTTAGTAACAGTAATCTCACTGGGTTCAGTGGGGGTAGAAACTGATAGCAGAGATGGGTATCTTTTCTCCTATATGCTTCAGAATTGCAATGTTGAAGGCAGTAGAGTATTACCGAAAAATTAAGTTCAAATGCCAAGCTTTCTAATAGGCCAACAGTAATGAGCCAGGCACGTGAGCTGATATTTTCCAATAGGTTTGAGGAATGCAACAAGGGCAGAAATTGAAAATTGGTATGTTAACAAAAATTAACTTATGATTATCCAAACTGTTTATTTCCACTCTGTTAAAAAAAATTGTCGAAAATATAGTAATCCACAAACAGAAGTAGCAAACTTTGTTGGCACCATATGGCAGTTATGCATTTTCAGCAAAAAATGGTATACGTATGCAAAGTTATACAAGCTATACAACTTCAATTGCTATAGGAGTCCTAGTAGTTTTTCAAGGATCAGGGATATGTATCACATCGGTACTTGACGCTTGTCCGCTATTCTGCCAGTTACATTCTAATCTTAAATCCTTGGGAGCTCTGTAAGAATGCCAAATTTACATCTAAATTGTAAAGGCTAATATATGAGGATGACTGACATTAATACTACTATTTCTTTTCGTGTACCATATACTCCTTTTAGAGACACAACAAGATGGTGTGAATTAGAACTTTAGTATATGCACTGTTCATAAGTGCAATTTCAAAATGTCATGCAGATTAGAAACCAAAGAAGTTAAAATAATTTTGGATTTCAGTAAATATATTAAAAATATGCAGGGAAAAGATTTCCTTCATTTTCCTTCATCAGCCTTGAAAACTTAGATGACCTGAGTCTCAAAGATGAATGAAATAAACCCAAGATTTTGTGATCGCAGTTTCTTCACGGAAAGAACTGATTGATACTTGGACAGAAGGGAAGATTATTCATTATGACATGCCTCCTGAAATTTTCCAGACACAGGTCAGACTGAGACCCAGGCTTGTAACACCTCGTATAGAATACAGCAGGAGTTGTGTTCCTCTGGTGACTAAATGATCTACACGCATAGAATCAGGGACTGACTTTACGCAAGTAGCGGAGGGGATGGATAGCTGGATGAGCTATCACACCATAGCAATGTAAGAGAATTTTTAATGTAGCAAAGGGGAATATGCATCTGAAGAGCAGATTAAAAAGAGAGCTGCAGACAGGTTGCACGTGGATCAGATGAGACGGCCTGTGATCACAGCAGGCTGCAGATTCCTGCATTCTGCTACTCACCTTTCTTACTGAGAATGTCAAAGCCTTGCATTTCGAAATAGTTTATGCCAACAATACCAATTAGGTACAACATTACAGTGTCTTACGGTGTTTCTTCACAATAGCTGGGTTCAATTCATATGCTTTCAAGTTGAGATCCAGGTAATACTTTAAACATTTGTTGAAACCAGCACGACAAGCTGCCAGAAAACGTGAACTGACACTCTCAGAACAGTTAGATGAGCATACTCCACACACCCCAGTTTGAGTATACTCTCAGGATCAGAAATTTAAGAACATTTAGACTGCTGGCATCTGGCCATTTAATCTTGCAAAGAAGTTTACCCCAGAGCACATGGGACAGAGAGGTCAAGCTCTCTGCTGCGGTGGTTGCATGTTGCCCAGCTGAGCATCTGCAATGCCGTCACACAGCCAGGGCGTTTGGCAGTCACGCTGTCTTTTCCCCAACACTTTCCTCTTATGAAATACTTGTCACCACCAAGTCAGAAAGCTCAGCCGGGACAGTTTCATTGCCACAGGCTGGGGCAACAGAACATACTAGTTTCACTTTTCTTCTAATGAAATGTGAAAGAGGATTTGGTAAAATCAACTGTGTACTCGATCAATGAAGGGTTCCAAAGAGGATTTGTAAAGACAGATGGAGAAGAGTTCCAAAAAAGACACGAAAAAATTCACATCGCAGAATTTCCAGATTTCCATAATCTGGAAACAGCTGGTCCATAGCAAAGAAATCATCAGGGTGAAAAAGGTGAAAGCTGTCGAGCTGCAGTGAACAAGGAGAATCACAGAGTACATCAAGGTCTATAAAATGTGTGGTTGACCTTGTGCCAAACAGGCAAAAGACTCCAGATGCAGCAAACTAATCCCAGTGCTGAATCCAAACATCAAGAAAACAACGGTAAAATGAACCAATCTAGTAAAAGATTAAAATGCATTATTAATAGATTCATGTTGCAGATCTAAAATTAACAAACAAATGCATGTCTCCCTCAGATACTCAAAACTCATGTTTTAGTAAAACATGCAATAGCTTGCTTAGTGCTATAATATTTTCTGGTGTCATTGCATCCTAGACCAAATTAGAATCAAAGACTCTCGCTAATTAATGTTTGTTTATTTTTTCCCTTAGATGTCATCTCTTTCTTCTACTTTACCTGAAGTGCACTACCGCTACTTAGGAAAAAGAGCATTAAAACTCTCTGCAAGAACAGGGTAATAGGGAAGAGAACACATAAGGTTTATCAAACAGATATGATGTTCCTTTCATGTATTGGTTAGTTTAAAACAAGAATTTAAAAATAAACCCCACAAAACTAAATTCTGTTGAAAAAAAAGAAAAACAAAACAACATCCCCTTTCCTCTCAGCATTTCTGTCATCAGAAATTTGGCAGTAGTGCACATCCAAAGCTTTTATCAAATGAAGCCACTCATTTTTACATTGTTCCATCTGTTTTATTGTAAAATACTAGACATTTACGTATTTACTGTGTATGTATTTCTTTTAAAATGTGTAAGTCTTATGTAAATGGATATAAATATGATTTTTTAAAAATAAAATCTATGGTACATGGGGTCTCAGTGCAAACATTTGACAATACAGTGTCAATAATACTGTTTGTATCTTTCCATTCCACCATTTTTACAGTTTTTGGATTGTAACAGTCAAATGAATATGTTTAGCAGAGTTAGAAGCTTCAACATGTTCCTACTGAGAAAATCTGTCAATATTTAAAGTTGAACACCTGCCTCTGATGATGTATAATAGAATGATATAACCTGGAACTGGAGCCAAAATGGACCTCTAAAGACAAAATGGAAATGTCAGATATCCATAGAGAAGCACCATGATGGCTCACCTCTTAAAAACAAATAAACCCAGAAGAACTGTTTACAAAATAAAAAGCAATTTAATAAAACATGATTTATACAAAAACCAAAAACTTTCTTCTATGTTACCTGCGGACCAAGAAGAATCTTGCTTTACCAAGAGCCACCTTTTTGTTCCAGGATCTTCAGACACCAGCCAGCATTGGAAAATTAAATCTAATATTTGCATATGATCAGAGTCTCGTTTCCAGATATATTCAACAAAGAAAAAGAAAGAAAAGAGAAGCCAAACCCCACCATTTCTTCATTATAACAGGGCATTAGACAGGCTCCTGTCTAACGTTACGCTTTTAGCCAAGATGGCCTTGCTGAGACTTCACAGAAGTCAGTTTTATCAGAGGAAATAACTGAAAGACAGAGTGCTTAATATATAGTGTATAAAAGTTTAGAAGAGCAACTATTACCTGCTGTGGCTTTATTTGGTGGTGTTATTGTTGTTTATTCTTTGTTTAAATGGGAAGTTTCAAAGTAAGACCTACTTAATAGTCATTTACCTATTTGCTATTTTTCTGCTGCTTGAACTTAGCTCAAGACCTGTCTTTTAGTTATTTCTTTTAGCAGTCTGATCTGCAATGTTTGCACGTACATAAACATTTGTTTTGTCTATTTTCATTTGGCAAACTTCAGTCAATCAGATGGTGAAAGATTTTTCTCCCCCAATGTCAATAAAAAAGAATTCAGTGCTATTTGTGTTTATAAGTCTATTAAGCTTGGTATGCAGTAGCATTAAAATAGTTGGATGCCAGATACTTATAGCTAAGCATAAGCACATTTTGCCACTACCAGGTGAGTTACGATGGATTTACTGGTGAGAATCTGCCACGAGAGGGAGCACTGAACTTGCTAATGGGTGCGATACCATGGCTTGGGTTAGCACACAACCCCATAAAGACACGGCTCTTTTACGTACACTTCCTCGGGTTTAACCGACATCATTGGTCATGTTCCTTCTCCTCCCTCAACCTCCTTTTGGATTCTTTTAGTCCAGAATGTCACAAAGTAAAGCAATGCAAACACCCTTTTCAGTGGCTGTAGGAGCATTGGAATACACTTCGCCTTGTAAATGCCAGCTCTCATTTTACAGAATTTCTGGTTTGGGCCCGCATTGTCACAGCCCACGCTCAAATTCAGGGGGCAGAGGAGAATGAGGTGTGTTGAGGAAAAGCATGAGCAAGATTTTGTGATCAAAGCTGCAGGTATCCTGCTGTAGGAGTACAACATCCCCAAATTACTTATTTCCATAGTGAAAGAAAACAGATTAGAAGAATTAAAAATATCTTTTTAAAAATAGTATTATTGTGACTTCCATTTTGATCTAAGGCTATAAAGGATATAAAATATAAGGATATATTAAATAAAAGGATATAAAATATCCTTTTATATAAGGATATAAAATCTCCTAGTACATCCCTGTCTCCCCCATATAAGTTGAAGCTCTACTCTCAACAGCCAGACATCGCGGCTATGCTAAATGTTGCCTACTTGGCTCCAACCCTTGCAGCACACTGGGACTAATTATTACATCAACCTCTTCCAGCCAAGTTTCAGTAACTCCCTGACCATTCAAATCTATCTGCATGCTTCTTCTCTCTGTAAACGAAATTAAGAAAATCAGTGCTCTCCTATCGCTTCTTAAATGGGCTTGTTCTTCCTTGATGGTATAGCCAGGTTGCTGGGCAGCACCGGAGCCCCGCACAAGACTGACTACTCCTCCCTTTCTCCAGCTTGGCACGAAGCTAAAGCTGTAGACAAAGCATTCTGCAATCACAGTTCCTCAGCAAAAGGCTCCTCTGGAGAACAAAAGCAATGCCTGCGAAACTATTTTTTTCCATACTGTACTGCTGCAATAAGGTGGCTTGCTTTGTCTGGGTTTTCTGGATGCTAACAAATGAGACATTTGGCATTTCTGGAATTCTCCACATTACTAGGGCGGTAGCAGAGTGAGTACACCTGACCACTCTGCCCCTCTCTTTTAACCACGTCTCAATCGTAAATGATTCCCATCAAATAGAAAAAAAGAAAAGAAGAAAAAATATAATTAAAAAAATTTAAAATAAAGCTCAGGCTTCCTCAGAAAGCAGAAATTATTGCAAACATTTTTGTCATGGAGACATTTTAAGAATGCTAACTATTCAAGCTAACTATTCAGTTCAGATAACAGATAATTGTTTCTTGTCAATATTAATATGAGCAAATAGCCTCTCTGAAAGGTAGGTGCCTAAATATCCATTATTAATTTATTTAAAAAAAAAAAAAAAACAAAACCAAAACAAACACAAGTCTGACATTAATTCCCTCTCCCTTAAAAAAAGAGCCCCGAGCTAGACAACAGGTTACCTTTCCTTAATAATGAAGAAACTGGTGTAGGAATGTAAGATGTCACTGAGAAAATTATACAAGATGGAGAAAACTAATTCTCCTTTCCTACATCCTATTACAGTATCTTTACTAGAGGGCTTGTGCTCTCACTAATTAGTTCCCCTCCCCTGTTTCTGCGATTAAGATGACTGCAGCCAGGATAAATACACCAAACATACACGTCTCAGCTTTCACTGTACGAGAAAAATAATGGCCATGTACCTCATGAATGTGTCACAGTTTCTCTGTGATAAGACCCTTGTAGCTTCTTACTGATTTAAACAGCCCATCAGCGACAAATCCCAAGATCTCCCTCTTGCCCTGTAGCTGTTCAGCATAGGTTGCTAAGCTGTAGCATTGTGAAACTGAAAAATACTCCACAGTCTGTGTAAGGCACTCTGTTATTTGACATGAGCCTCCCATTAAAGTCTTGGTACTTGAACAATCCGTCACGAAGAAAATAATATCTTCAACTAACTGCAACTTATATAAGTATTTCAAGAAAGTTATCAGGACATCTGAGGAATAAAATTACTCCCACATATAAACCACTAACCTGTATAGTTATCTATATAGATATAGCATACCTACCATAAAGCATCATTAGCCTTTACTCAGTCTTTAAATGCTTTTACTCCCTGTTCAGATTGTGATTTTCAACTAAATCAAAGAGCTGAGCAGGGTGGCTACCTTATAACAATTATATAGCAAAAAACAAGTACAGCACAGACTGAAACCAGGCTGGTTTATTCTATGACTGTATGACCTGATTCAACACGGCTGGCTCAGCTGCATGCAGTCCCTAGTGAGAAAACACACGGACTTTTTATTTCCTATGGCACTGGTAGAGCTCATTGACTCTAGAAAAAGGTCATATTTATTTAGAATACATGCTTTTTATTGAACATTACTATGAGCAAATCAAGATTTTCACAGATTTGAAAGCCAGAACTTATCATTCTACAAAAAAGGCACTTCAGAAAGTTATTGACTAAAAAAATTAGAGGAATCTAACTTACAGTAGAAAGGCTTAGGAAAAAAAGAAATCAGTGGAATCAAGAAAACTAATATAAAATTTTTTAAATTTGTAAAAATTTAAAAGACATAAAGGCTCATCATTTACAAGTGACAACAGTTTAGGTCTGTAATTATTTTCACATTAGAATTCCTATCTGTTGCTGTCATCAGTTCACAACTTACCTTTTGTAAGCTGTTTTAGCAAAACTCAAGTTACTGGTCGCATTATACAATAATGGATTGAAATGTAAGGTTACATGATATCATAGGAGATAATCCAGTGGCTCCTTCCCTTTAAGGCTATAGAAATGTATGAATTCTATTTGCAATTCTCAGCAATCTTAATAACCAGCATATAATGACAACATGCAGAGACTTAAGTATGCTTCATTGGCTGTGGCAATATTGTAAAGAACATAGTAACATTTCTGAAATTAAAAAAGTTAGTCCCAAATCATTACTAGTTTTTAAAATGTGGCATTTCCTAACAGAAAGTCTCTTTGTATACTGCAGTAACTGACACATTTGTTATCAGTCTCTTATCCCATTTAATTTTTCTTTAGTACTTCTTCAATGTGTTTAAACACGCTAGCATCTTCAATGGTTGGTGTTATCTGAAAAAGAAGGACATACAGAAGCATGTGATAGTATATTGCTGTTCTCAACAGTAAGATAGAATTTCATTCAGAGAATCTTCTAAATCTAGCCTTCAAAAGTGATCAAGAAAAAAGTATCTGGAAAGCTCTGGAACCTGATAATCTTTTGGGTAAGGCAGAGTACAAATAAAACATAGTGTACTACCTGAGTCATGGACCAGTTGGAGGATGGTCTAGAGAACTGAAACCACGATGTTGTGTCTTTGGATATGCACATGTGCCTAGTTCATGAAAGCATACAGCTCCAACTTACCTTATATGGTTTTCCACTGACTAGTGCAGAAAGAGCTGAACGTGGTATCTTGCCAGAGCGTGTTTTTGGTAGCTGTTTCACAAAGATGCCCTTCTGGAAAGCTGCTACTGGACCAATGTTAGTTCGAACTCGTTCAACAATCTCT